CTGTGAGTTCAGAGGGGTTTTTGGGGTCACAGGGGTTGTGTTTTGAGGTGGGCAGAGCAGAGGGACCAACTCAGTCTTGTGCCACTCCAGCATCATTTTTCAGCAGGGATCAGACCCAGCTGCTATTGCAAGAGTGAAAGGAGCCCAGTGTTTGGATTTCGGGAGAGAAAAGCTTTTGGTGAGAATATCCTGAAGTGTGACTGTTTACTTTCCTAGCAAAGCTTTTGTTGCAGGTTTTGGCAGCGTTTGTTTGTTATTTCCTGGCTTGTTTGGAGCACAACAAAGCGTTTGCTACGTTTGTTTGGGGATTTTTTGGGTGTGTTTTTTTCACATTTTTTTTTTTTTTTTTTTTTTTTTTTTTTTTTTGTTTTTTGTTTTGTTTTGTTTTGTTTTGTTTTTTCACATCTAGACAATGTTTTTACTCCAGTAAGATGTATATGTACAAATTCAAATCAAGCCGTTCTTTAGTTTAACATTTTCTGAATCACTTCTCCTCAGTGTGGGCAAACCAAGGATTAATGACACTGGGGCTGAGCAGCCCCAGAGGAGGAATGAAGGTAAAAATGACTATAAAGGTTGCAGATCAAATCACTCGTTCCTATGGCAAGTGTCAGAGCTGATGCCAATTAACTTGATTTAAAAAAAGAACCTTCAGTGTTTAATAATCCAGCATGTTACTAACACGTGGCTCCAGGATTTATTAAAGCTTTTTTATTAGATCAGTGCCCTTTCCATATTGTCATTCCTCGACACCATTGCCCTCTGCCGGAGGATGGGGATCTCTTTCATCATGTGGCACCTGATTCTTCCCAAAACCGTGCAAAACTCCTTTGTTTTAGGAGTACTTTAACCCCAAAATCGCTTACATTTGAGCCAGTGATTTATGGCTTTTCACTTTTCAAGAGTGAAAAAAGAGGAAAAAAAAAAAGGCAGGATACTTTCTGTAGTGGAAAAGAGAGTTTGATTGTTTTAATTATGTTTAAATTTGTTCCTCCTCCTTCATTTCCCTGGGGAAGAGGAGATAGGAGAAGTTGAAAAGTGGCAATCTGAATGAAGCAGGTTTTGTTTTGAACTGTGGGGAAAGGAGAGTGGTGTTGTGATGGGGAAGGGGTAGAGGGAATGCCTTGAAGAGGAACATCATTTTTCCCAGACCAATTTTTGTCTCATGCCACAAACTGCAACAAAAATCATCGCCTGGCTTTGGCAACAAGGGAATTTTGGGATGTAGGGCAAGCCCTCTGTGAAGCTGTGACTCCTCTCAGCAGCAGTGTAAAATCACAGGCTCCCATGTAATTCCTGGCTGATGCTGTTCACAGGAGGAAATGGATTTCACCTTTGGCATGTGCTGTGAGGGGGGAACGTGGCTTTGTGACACTGAGAGCCAGTGTCACCCCACACCGAGGCCCTTGGTGGCATCAGGGTGTTGAGAGAGAGAAGCTTGGAAAGCTCTGCATGGAGATTTCACAGTGCTCTCAGCTGCCCCAAAGGAATTCTTGCCACGTCCTTCAGCCAGGATCATCAATAAAAGCAAATCCCTTGAGGAATTGGCAGCGAGGAAACGCTGCAGAGCAGAGCCCGTGGTGCTCCCTGGGTGCTGCTGGGCAGCTCAGGGTGCAGAGTGTGGCCAGCACTGGGGGCAGGCTGTGGCCCTGTGGCCCTGCCAGCCACCCACCTCCATCTGGGAGCCACCCTGGGCTCGTGTCCCTTTGGGGACACTCATTGCAGCCCCTGCATCTGAGTCTCGTCTGCAGCCAGGAGCACTGATGGCGCAAAGGGAGCTCCGGGGGGACAGGGGAGGTGTAAGAGATGGAGACTTCAGATGGCTTCTAAAATGCTGTTCATTGCATAGACAAGGGTACAGAGTTGAGAGTTGTGGGTGAGCCCAGAGCTGCTGGCTGTAGGCAAGCTGTGTGTCCTGAAGCCCATTTTTATTCATGTTACAAAGCATTATATCTCTTTCTTTGCTGTGCATCTTATTACATAACAACCAATCAACATCATACACAATACCTCATACATTTGCATACAACCTATCAAAACTGCTAAAATTACTATATTATATTAATGACTAGCCAATCATCTGAGTTATTAGTTACGTGTTCAGCTTTGAGACTTGTTTTGCAGTGGAAATTTCTACTAGCTTTGGTAAAAAACATCTTTCTGTCTGCCTATGCTTTATTGCTTGGTAGAAAGCATGCCTCATTTGAAGAAGACCTAACCTATTGTTTGAAGGCCACTTAGTCTTTGGGCTTTAGTCATAAAACTCCTTCCAGCTCGACTAAACCTTTGTTCTCTCAGCTCTTCCAGCAACAACTGGCCCTAAAAGCATCTTTGATATATCAAAACTTGCTTTCATTCCTATAGAACCTTCTGTATATCTGTAAAACTTTTCTGTTAGTTTTTCATCCTTCCCAACAGAAGGGAGCACTGGAACATTCCCTGTGCCTGGCAGCCCTCCCTGCTGGGTCACGAGTGGGCTGTGCACAGTGACAGCTGAGTGACCAGGGAGCTGCTGGAGGCTCTGGAGCCAAGGGAAGGGAATTGGTGCTGGGGACAGAGCAATGCACAAACCACTGGAGCCTGCTCCCTCTCCCCAGTGCTGAGGGGTTGGAAAGCAGAGCAGCACCCCAGCACAAAGGGGCTCATTTTCCATCATGGCAAGCTCAGCCTGTCCCATGGGATGAGGCTGGACTGAGCCTGGATGGGCAGGAGGCAGGGAAAAGGCAGCTTTAAGGCTGGGGCACTGTGTCTGCAGGAAGCTGCCCATGACAAACAGCATTTGGTGATGCCAGCCCTCTGTGGCAGCTTGCCAGGAGCTGTGAATGGGCTCTGAGTGGCTTTTTTAGCTGTTATCTCCTCCCACCCCATCTCCAGCAGCAGAATCCTTTCCTTGGTGCATTTCTGGGGAAGGCACTTTACCAGGTAAGGTGTTCAGCCCTTCCAGCTGCCCCTTAGGGCCCTGCCCTGCAGGGATGCTCAAGGGACCTGTTCCAGCTTTACCAGAGGATTCCAAGGATGCCAACACTCCTTGTCCTCTGTTCAGGCACAGTCAGCAGCCGCAGGGACAGCAGGGATGAGGCCAGATGCTCTTTCCTCAGGACAGTGTGCTTTGGCAGATCGAGGCCAGCGGGAATTCTCTGGCTCCAGGAGCTGGACAGGGATGCAGCACTAGGCTGATGCTTGCTGGAATAATTCCTCCTCTTCCTCTCTGGTTTATTTTGTCTGAATGAGGCTGTTTTCACCAATTCTGAAAACAAATGAGAGAGCTCTGACTGGGGAACTGGCAGTTTGCTAGAGTTGGCTGGAAATTTTCCTACGAGTTTGGGTTTTGTATGCATGGAAAAATGAATTATTCACGGAAACTTTAGTTGAGGGACATTTACATGACACTTTTAAGGACAAAGCCCAACCTATGACCTCCTTCCCTTTTGTTTTCCCTGGTAAATTAATACCTTTGTGATTGAAGTGCTAATTTGGAAGAACCAGGTTCTGTCCAGCCACTTGAATATTGTTTGATTGCAAGATTCCTTTAGAGGGAAAACCCATCAGTGAAATGGAGCCATTTCATCCAAGTGGGCTCAGTGCTGGGGGCTGGCTCTACAGCCCAGTGGCCAAGGCAAACTCGGATCAATCCAATTTGGGATAATCAGGGATCTGAACCCAGATTTCTCCACGCCAGCCCCACGCAACCAAGAAAAAGCCAGCTCTGGGAAAATATTTGCACAAGTGGCAGAAAGAGCCCGGGCTGGAGGGGGTTTAAGGAGGGGATGTGATAACTCGCAGATCACTGTCAGAGGGAGAGCAGAGCTTTTCCCAGAGCATCCTGCTCCCTCTGCAGCATCCCTGGGCTCTGCCTGCCTGCACTGCAGCCCTTTTAGCAGCCTCTAATGCGTTGTCCCACATGGGAGCAGCAGCACTAAACTCTACCCGTGTTTGCAAACTGCCCGTGGTGCGTGGCAGCCCCGCTAAGTGCTGTGCTCACCGAGGCGCCGGGATAAAATACAGTCTGCTTTAATCTTGTATGTGCATCAAACTAAGCCATTGTGGCACTTTAATATACTCCAGGCACGGCACCTCCAAGAGGGAACCGACCTGAGCAGCCTGAGCTAAAACTGGCTGTGTTGGAGCTGCCTGCAGGATGGGCTGAGCTGAGGGAACACTGATGGCACTGATGCCTTTTTCTGGGGCTGAAAACAGAGGCCAGACAAAATTAAGAGAATAAAAAGCAGTTCTATTTATTGAAGGGCCTTCAGGTACATTTAGGGCAGACAAACCAAAATGGACAATGGGTCACGGGTTTGCACACTTTGATAAGTTTGGGCCATTTGCATTTTGGGGGTTCATCTTCCAATTCCAGCTCCAGGTAATGAAGTCATTTACCCCAAGTTTGCTGCCCCCAACTCACTTTTGTTTCCATCTCTCAGGCCTGAGGCAGTGAGGTGTCCTTGATTGCCAGGCCTGGAGAGGAATTGTTGTGTGTGCCCCAAATGGGAGAGCAGCAGCTCACACTGGATATGGAGTTTAGAGTTCTACACTAAAGAACTGCAGGGTTACAAATAGATGAAAAATATAAAAGCTAAAATCCTAAGGCATCAATCAGGAAAAATATGGGATTGCATTTCCCAGGAGCAGAGGTGCAGCCTGAGAGCTCTGCCTGGCCAAGGGAGAGGATCTGGGGCTCCCAGCATGTGCAGATGTGTCAGGGCTGTGGCTGTGGCAGTCTCTGCTCTTTCCCTAAGCTTGGCTGGCTTGAGGGGAAGGTTCTGTTCCCTGGGATGGCTCAGACTCTGAGCAGCTTTCACTCAGCTGGCAGGAGGGACTTGCTTGACAAGGGCATGCAAAGGGAAAGCAAGGTCGTGGATACCCAGGAGGGATCTCCCTGGAGGGTGGCACACTGCTGCTGCTCACTGCCTCACCGGGGTTTGTTCTTTTCGAGGAGAACAAAAAGAACAATTTTTCTGGTACTTTCTCAGCCTACTGGCCTTTGCTCTGTGTTGCAGGTTTGCTTCCACATGAGTCCCTGAGGTTCCTGCTGGCAGCTCCAGCAGTGCTCTGCACAAGTGCCCTCCTGCTCCTGGGCTCAGCAGCCGAGGTCCCTCCAAACCTGCTTCTGCAATGGGTGGGTTGTAAGCACTGGTAAGACCCACGAGTCGTGTCGCCTTGGCTGCTCTTCCCTCTCTCGCGTTCTCTCTCTCTGTCCTCGCTCCTTCCTGCCCATTTATTTCTGTTCTCCATGTGCTCTGCTGTTCTGTCTCTGGGGTTTTCACTGTCAGGTAATGAGGAGCTGTGGGCCCAGTCAGTCTTGGAGATGCCGAAGAGACGAGACATCCTGGCTATCGTGCTGATAGTTCTGCCCTGGACACTCCTAATCACCGTCTGGCACCAGAGCACCATTGCTCCACTGCTTGCAGTGCACAAGGGTGAGAGAAACCAAACCAAACCAAACCAAACCAGCCCATGCCAAGCCCGTGCATCCCCCCTTCGTCCTCATCTCCTCTCTCATTTCATTCCTCCATGGCAGCCATGCTCATCTCAGCTCCCAAACCATGCCCATGCAGCAGCCTCCCCACCTCTGCTCTAGGAACAGCCCAGTGCTCCCAGGGGCTCTTCAGAGGCATCAAACTCCACGCCACGGGATGTGCTTGCTGCCCCTGGAGAGCTCTTTATGGCCTAAATCCAGAGTGCTGCCTCTCTTTGTTCCCTGGGAGAGGATTCCCTCCCTGCTGGCCTCTGCAGAGCTCTGCACACAGAGTTATTCCAGTGGGAAGGCTGCAAAAGAGAGAGCACAGGAAACAAAGCTGCCACTCGAGGCAGCTGCTCTGCGAGACGTGAGGCTGAGAGCACTTTTTAAGGAAAGCAGAAAAGCAGTGCTCTTGCACTTGAAGGAGAAGGCAAGAGCCAGATCTCACCTGCCTGGGAGAGTTAAAGTGCTCTGAGAAGTTGACTCCACACTGCCTATCACACTCTGCATAAATACAGCCCTGGCCCAAATCAGGGGGCTCCAGAAAATTCTGAGGCAACCCTTTTGGCCAGAAGCATCTCAGTTTGGTCCTGTTCTTGGCACAACAGCAATATCTAAGGGCTCTGATGGCTATTGGAGGCTGGAAGAAGCCACTCTGCCTTCTGCCACCTTCCTTCTTGGTTCTGCCCTTCTGCTGTGGGCAGGCTGCTCTGGGGGAAGAAGGTCAGCTCATTTTCAGGACCCCTTCATCCTCTCTGGTCCCTTTTTCTGAGGGATTCTCTCCCCTTTCAGTGTTGGCCCCCATCCTCCATAGCTGCTTATCCCTTTGCAGGACACTCTGATGTGCAGTTTGAGTTGCAGGAAGTTCAGTCTGTCCTGAGCAGTTTTCCCTTTCTCCTGACAGCCACCTCTGAGTTTTGGGCAAGGAAAAATTACTCTGATCCCTTCTGGAAGGTGCACAGTGTTTCAGAGGATGAGGGATCTACTGGGCTCTAAAAGAGAACTTTAAAGATGAGTAAAAACACGCTGCCAGTCTGTACAGCAGTTTGATCACTGCCCTAAAAGCAGTTTTCTGTGAATGGCCTCTGCAGTTACAGCACAGAGACTTCTCCAATGGCTGGCTCAAGAACTCACCAGTGGCCTTGATGAGACCCTTTCTGCTTCTCAAAGCCCCCAGTGGAAAGTGAGAGGTGGTAGAGACCGACCTGAAAGCTCTTCCTCTGAAAGAGGAATCATTCCATCCTTGTGAAGCATTTCTGGGATGCTCTGCTCACAGGTGCTGAGAGAGATGTGCACCTGGAGATGTCCAGAACAGCAGCACTTCCCAGTGCCAGGGCTCACAGCTGAGGCTTTGACCTGCAGGGCTTTACAAACTGTCTTGGGCACCATCCTGGCTAATTACATTTCTGTCTGTGTCCAATGCATTTCGCAGATTTATTTCTGAATTGATTCCAGCGTTGCCAGCTCTCAGAGAGCTCTGCTGGGTGATGCTGAGGTGCTCTGCAGCACATAGGGCCTGATAACAACATGTACCCTGTTCCCCAAATATCCACGCCCCCTCTGTCAATGCCATGGAGTACAAAGCCTTCATTTGGTTCAGGTATCAAAGTCTGTGCTGCTGGAAGAATAACATGCTATGAAAAAGCCATGGGTAGGCCCCTGCTGGGTCAGATCTGATGGCTCTCTGTTCCTGTTCTTTCTCATCTCAAGTTCCTGGTAGTTACCAGATTTTGACGAATCTGTGGCTCAAAGTGTTCTGTGCCCACTGGAGAGGCAGCCTTACATCCTGAGTGGGGGTCCCCCTTCATGTCTGCAGACCATGGCATTCCTGCTGCTCTGCAGTGGAAAACGTGGAAGCTGCACCCTGGAAAAGCGGCAGGAGCATCAACACTGGTTTTCCTTGAGCTGATTGTGAACAATTTGCAGGGATTTTACATGTTTGGATCAGAGTGCCCTATCTTTAGGCTGTTCATTGCTCACATCTGCACCCCTGAGGGGGCTGTTATGTTCAGAGATTGGAGGGGTTTTTTGAGACAGGTAGTTAGAGGCAGGAGAAAGTCTCTGCAGGAAAAAAACCCTACAATTACCAGCTTTAATTTCCACTCTCCATTTCTGGATTTGAAGTGTGTCTTTCCCCACTTCCCTGTGCCTGTCAGTGGGGCACTGCAGTGTCCTGCCCAGACTGTGCTGCTGGGGATCTTCACTGGCCTGGTGTTTCCCTGCCTCCCAGTCCAGGTGCTCCAGCTGCTGAGATCTGTGAGTGCTGCCCCACTGAGTGTGGTGCTCAGAGCACTGGAGCTCTTCAGGGATGATGGATCATCAGTCCACGTGGCTATTTTCCTTCTCTACATCTGCTTGCTCTACAATCCTGTCTCTTCTGGGTGCTTTGTGAAGCTGCTTGTTGTGAGCACTCAGCCCAGTTGCTCTCAGGCCTTTTTTTTTCTTTGGTGCTGGTTTTCTAGCAGCAGAATCTTCTTTTCTCACGTGTGTTTTTCCCTGATTCCTTTATTTATCCATGCCCTTATCTCTGAAAGCCTCCACCCGAGCCTGTTTCCTCTCCTGGCACCCACGAGGGTGACCCGCTGGTGGCCGCAGCCCGCTGGCTCAGCCAGGGGAGTGCCGGACACCCGAGTCCATGTGGCTCTCTCTTCTCTCCATGCCCTTGCCCAGATGATGGTGGTGACTCCCAGCGTGATCTCGCTGCAGGCTTGGACTCCAAGGAATACTGCCTGTCGGACCGGGACATTGTGGAGGTGGTGAGGACAGAGTACGTTTACACGCGCCCGCCGCCGTGGTCGGACACGCTGCCCACCATCCACGTGGTCACCCCCACGTACAGCCGGCCGGTGCAGAAGGCAGAGCTGACCAGGCTGGCCAACACCCTGCTGCATGTGCCCAACCTGCACTGGATCCTGGTGGAGGACTCGCAGCGCCGCACGCCGCTCATCACCCGCCTGCTGCGCGACACGGGGCTCAACTACACGCACCTCAACGTGGAGACACCCCGCAATTACAAACTGCGAGGGGACATGAGGGACCCCCGCATCCCCCGGGGCACCATGCAGAGGAACCTGGCCCTCAGGTGGCTGAGAGAGACCTTTAACAAAAACAACAGCCAGCCCGGGATTGTTTATTTTGCTGATGATGATAACACCTACAGCCTGGAGCTCTTCGAGGAGGTAAGGGTGGGGTGGTTTGGGGTTTTGCTGGTTTGAGGTTGTCGTGATGTGAGATAGGATTAGGAGGAAGGTAAAACAAGCTGAACTTTAGATGGTACAAAGAGAAAAAAATATATTCAGGAAACCTGTACAAACCACCACATTGGGCCTGCTGGGGGGATGATGAGCCTGGGGAGGGGTGAGAGATGCTGTGAGTGAGCTGAGGAGGTGCTGGGTATGTCCTCTCCTGAGCTCTGGATTAGTCCTGGCCGTAGTCACTGCAGCTGTGCTCTGGTTTTCTCTGGAGCTCTGTTACCCTGTGTGTGTTTCCAGAGCCAAAGCATCCCTTGAGAAACAATGGGAACCCCGGTTTATCTGTGGTGTGTGATCAGGAGGCAGCTTCCATGGAAGGGGAGCTAAGGAGCTGCCTTCCCTGTGGGGAACCTTGTTAGGGTTAGAACCCTAGGTTGGAACATCCCCTGCCAAGAAACCTCAGCCATCCTCCTTCCTCACCTCATCCCAGAGACCTCCAGTTGATCTGATGTTTTCCACCTTCCTCCTCCACCACTTGGCTGTCTGTTAATTCCTGTCTGCTTTTATTTGAGGGATCCTTTTTGTTCCATGCCATTTGCCTTTGCCTTTGCCTGCTCCCATGCCAGGGTTAAATTCCGTGGCTGCTGGGAGCCCCGTGCCTGCTCCACTGACCCCGGCTGTCAGAGCCACCCCTGAGCTGTGTCAGCACAGCCACGGCCCTGCCAGGACATCTTGTTCAGAGATGTGTGTGTGTCTCTGCCTTGCTGCACACATGAGGAGCAGGAGTTTGTCAGAGGTTTTGCTTTCCTGGAAAAGCAGAGCCCTCTGTGCACTGCCTGGGTGAGGGATGTCTGTGCCAGGAGACATGTGCAGCTTTTCCCCCTGGAGCAATTCCTATTCCAGTGTTTGGGCATGGATGTCCCCCAGGCTGCTATGGCAGAGGGGCTGAGATCTCCCCCTGGAAAGTTGCAGCTCCAGGGCTGAATTTCAGCATGTCCTGACAATCTGGTTGGGCTTGAGCAGGGGAAGTTTTCCATGGGTTTTCCCACCTTTGCTCTTTGTTCCAGTCCATCTGGGGCTCTAAATGAGCTCTTGTCTGCAGGTTTGAATGGTCTCAGAGTGCCAGGTACCTCGCCTGGCTTCCAGCTCGGAAATTACTTGTTCTCTTGCTCTCTTGAGTCCAAACTCTTGCAGCACGGGACAAGAAAGGAGGATTGCTTCCTTCCCCACCAGCTGCCAGTTTTCATACCAGGGATCTCCTCATTTATTTCCTCATACATGCCTCTTTCCCTTCCCCAGTGGCCCTCACTTTAGCTTGCACAGGCACAGGAATACACATGCTTTGAAAGCTGAAAGTAAATTCAGACTGAATTTCTTTCTTTCCCCGTCCCCTTTGAGGCTGGCTCTGGCAGCATCTTGAGAGAGACTCCTCACATGAATAAAGCAGAAAGGGTTCCTTCATTCACTCGTGTGCTGTGCTCGTAGAGGCTTCTCCTCTCAGATATGTCTCTGCAGTTAAGGTCACTGAGCCAAGGAAATGTGCTGTGAAATGCAGGAGACACACATTATTGTTCCCAGTGGACAGGGGCTGCCGTTAGCAGCTGTATAATGCAGAAGGGCAAGTGCCAGAGCTCTTCTGCTCTCGTTTGCAGTAATTAGCAGTGATGAGATTAGCTCTGGGAGATCCCTGATCTAAGAGGAGCCTGCCGGGGAGCAGGGCCGGGTGCTGGGGGTGAGTGGCCATCAAAGCGTGTGCCGTGGCCAGGGCAGGTGGCCGAGGGGGGCTCAGGCGTGCCGCTGTGTGCTCGCCCGCAGATGCGCAGCACCCGGAAGGTGTCGGTGTGGCCCGTGGCCTTCGTGGGCGGCCTGCGCTACGAGTCGCCCAAGGTGAACGCGGCGGGGAAGGTGTACGGCTGGAAAACCGTGTTCGACCCGCACCGGCCCTTCGCCATCGACATGGCCGGCTTCGCCGTCAACCTGCGCCTCATCCTGCAGCGCCCCCAGGCCTACTTCAAACTGCGCGGGGTCAAGGGCGGCTACCAGGAGAGCAGCCTGCTCCGAGAGCTCGTCACCCTCAGCGACCTCGAGCCCAAGGCTGCCAACTGCACCAAGGTAAGCGCTCGTCCTCGTGTGGGGGTGCTCAGGAGGCGGAAGGGGGAGGAATCGCGGTTTTCACCGCAGTTCTGTCACTTCACAGGACCGCAGAGCGTCCTGAGTGAAAAGGGACCCACAGGGAGCACCCAGGCCAGCTCCTGCCCAACAATCCCATCCTGGGCATCCCTAGGAGCGGTGTCCAACCCCTCCTGGAGCTGTGGGACCCACAGGGAACACCCAGGCCAGCTCCTGCCCAACAATCCCATCTTGGGCATCCCTGGCAATGTTTTCCAGGTGCTCCTGGAGCTCTGGGACCCACAAGGAACATCCAGTCCAACTCCTGCCCCAACAATCCCACTCTGAGCTGTCCAGCCCCTCCTGGAGCTGTGGGACCCACAAGGAACATCCAGTCCAGCTCCTGCCCCAACAATCCCACCCTGGGCATCCCTAGGAGCGGTGTCCAACCCCTCCTGGAGCTGTGGGACCCACAAGGAACATCCAGTCCAACTCCTGCACCAACGATCCCACTCTGAGCTGTCCAACCCCTCCTGGAGCTCTGGGATTCACAAAAATCATCCAGTTCAACTCCTGCCTGTACAATCCTACCCTGAGCATCCCTGGGAGAAATGTCCAAGCCCTCCTGGAGCTCTGGGATCCACAAAGGTCATCCAGTCCAGCTCCTGGCCCTACAGTCCCATCCTGGGCATCCCTGGCAATGCTGTCCAAGCACCCCTGGAGCTCTGGGACACACAAGGATCATCCAGTCCAACCAGTCCCATCCTGAGCATCCCTGGGAGCAGTGTCCCAAAGCTCCTGGAGCTCTGGCAGCCTCAGGGCTGTGCCCATTCCCTGGGGAGCCTGGGCAGTGCCCAGCACCCTCTGGGGGAAGAACCTTTCCCTGATATCTAACCTGACCCTGGCCTGGCACAGCTCCAGCCATTCCCTGGGTCCTCAACAGAAAGAAGAGGGATCAGTGCCTGTCCATCCAGTGCCCCTCATGAAGAAATTAAAGATGGCTCTGAGCCTCCCCTCAGTCTCCTCCAGGCTGCTCCTCTGTGTTTGGAGGGAGCACACCCTCATTTCATGGAAGCTGGGAATGGGGGATTATGCACTAAAATGTGTGGAGGCCACCTAATCTCTTTTTATTGCAGGCTGCTGGTGGTTGTATAAGCCTTGAAATACAGTCTTCCCTCCTCTGTAACTGTTTTTCTTACATTACCCCTAAAAACGATTATTTTCAAGGTGGGCTTTCCTGCAGCCTTGCTGATCCCCTGGAGCAGGGAATTGCATGGGTGAAATGTCAGTTATTGAATGTGAATTCCCAGCTGAGGGTTTGGGTGCTGTGACACGCTGGAGTTTGGCTCTGTGGGCCCATGTGAGCTGTAACCCAGGAGGAACAGCCACAGCCTTTCCTGGCTGCAGGGAAGGGCTGCTCACACATTCCCTGCCTTGTTGCCAAGCTGTCTTCTCCCTCCTGACATCTGTGCAATATCTGTGCTGTAGGTGCCCACAGAAACCTGGATCTTTCTGTGTCAGAGATAATCCAGAAATGTTTTAGTGCCTGGGATATTGCTCTGAGCCCCAGGAGGCTTCAAGGAAGCTCCATTTGGGAGGGATTTTACTGCTGTCAGCTGAGTGATCAATGCTGCTGTTGCTGGGTCAGGGAGCAGGACCCCGTGTGCTAAAGAACACAGAAACCACTGATGGTTCTTCTCCTGAAGACTTCCCGGTCTGAGATGAGAGATGAATCTGTCTGGGCTGACAGAGCGTGGGAGACACCATGAGACAAAGTTAGAGTGACAGGCATCAATCACAGCCCATCAGCCACAGAGATGCTGTCAAGGGCTTTGAAGCTTTCTGAGTGGGTTCCCTAAATACTGGAGGTGTGCTGGGGTCCCCCATGTAGTACTCTCACACCTTTGTCTGTTATAAACATCAGCCTGATTTAGAGATTTTATTGCTTAATTACCCTAACAATTGTTCTTTTATTGCAAAGAAGTTGTTATTGCCAGCAGCCCCAGAGTTGGATCCAGGTCTCCATCCTTTTTGGGATAGGAAAGAAAATGTGACTTCTACCCTTTGCCTGATTTCCATGTGCACTGCTCTATAGCCATGGAAAAAACCAGGAATCTGAATGTTCAGCAGTACTCTCACAAGGAAACCAGGAATAAGGAGGAGGAGCCAAGGGGAAGGAGCAAGTCTGGGTTTTATCTGACACCTGCTGTGCCTCTCTGAATCCACATTTCTGTGCTTATGGTTGTCCAACGTCAGGAGAAATACCCCAACCAGCCTCCCAAGAATGGGAAAAGAGATTGGATTAAAATTAGATCGCTGTTCCTGGGCACTGTGTGGAAATAAATGTGTTTCCAACAGGCAGGAGAGATGGACAGGCTGCTTTTACACTGTGTACAGAAGATTAGGGGTGTTTACTCCGTGGCCAGTTATTCAGTCTTTGGTCCATTGTCCCTGCTGTAAATAAATACCTGTTGGAATGAAGCTGTGCTGAAAGGCTGGGGGTGGGAAATGACAGCCCTGGAGGAACACGTGGAGGAAGGAGAGGAAGGAAAATGTTGTTTCCAGGCAGGGCTGTGACACAGGTCAGGGATGGGGAGGAAGCAGCAGGGATTGCTGCCCAGCATCAGAAGCAGAGTGAGTTTCTTTTCTTGGCTGGGCTGGGAGAGCTCACAAGGGTCCTTGTTGTGAGCTGAATGCTGTCTGCTCCTGGCAGGCTCCGAGTGCAGCTTTGCAGGTTGGGCTCTGCCTTTCTGCTTCAGCAGCCTCCATTTCCCTGGAAATCTCCATTTCTGCTTTTCCTCACCCATTTCACCAGGAGAAGAGCCTGGGCCAGCAACAGAGAAGGACCAAAGCCAGCTGTGGTCTTGGGGTCCCCTGACCCCAAAATCAAAGCACAGGCTCCTCTCTCTCCCCTGTGCTCCCAGCACTTGTCATGCTTTGCTTCTGTTAAACATAACCACACACCTGCTTTGCAGGGAGATTTACATTAAAAATTATGATGTGCTTAGACAGAGTCATTAAGGAGGGATCAGAGGAATGTGTAAGATAAGCACAGACATCTGTTCTCCAAAAATGCTGCCTTCCCTGTGAGCACTGCTGGTAATATTGATCAGGATTCAGCCCACAAATGCACACTCCTGCAAAAAGCTGAAGTTTAGGCCAAAGATCACGTACCCTGCTTATTTTCTTGGATTTAGGAACTGCCCAAATGAAGGAGAAAGTAAAGAAAGTTGGTATTAGCTGCTGAAGAGAAAGTTATCCCTACTTATGAGGAGGGAAGGATTGGTTTATCCTGGAGCTGTAAGGAAGCAGGGATTTGCCAGGGTTCTCTGTATTTGGAGTTCTGCTCTTTGTGCATTTCCCCACAGCCCCAAATCAAACCATCCTCTCCTCAATCCCTTGGCACAGGAGGGAGGGCTGAGATTTGCCATTCCTGTGGGGCTGATGGAAGGGGGGACAATCTGCTCCCCATGTTCTATCAACACCCAGGGAACAATCTGCAGTGAGCTCAGCCAGGGAGGAGTAAAGCAGAGACAGGGGCCCATGGGCACCATTAATGCCACAGCTGGGGGAACATTTTATTGTCAGAACGGGGAGCAGAGCTTCCCTTTCAGCCTGGTGTCTTTTCTTTTCCTATTCTGTAATTTCCATTACAAGCAACAATTCCTGAATCCCTCCTGGGAGGGTCTGTGTGCTGGAAACCCAGTGATTCCCTCCCACTGTGGGTCAGTCTCTTCTGTTTGCTTTTTAATCTCCTGTTGGGAGACAGTGAATTGTTCTGCTGTGGAGATGAAGACTTGTGATCTCCTAAATCTGTTTTGAGTCCTGTAACTCCAAATGGCAGGGCTCTCCATGAGTGGAAGGGTTTTGCAGGAGTATTTTTAAACGGGAGTCCCTCGGGTGATCTGTATGAAGCCACTGCTCAGGAAAAGACAGATATTTGGTCCCTCTCACTGTTTGGTCTCTTGTGAGACAGCCAGAGCTTCTCTGAGGCATAAAACACGCTGCTTGTTGAAAAAAACAAGCACTGGCTGAAAGGAAAAGCAAATGTTTCTGTACTATATGGTGATCTACCTCCCACGTTAAAGAGCACAGCATGAAAAATGGTAAAAGCTGCTGTACCAAGCTGCAAACTCTGAAAATGGGTCCGTTTTAGCTCATTTAATCTGCTTCTTTTGGCACTTGGCTTTAACAGTGCAGAAGTGGGATCCAGTGGCAGGAGAGCACTGATGATGTGTAGTTGTGGTCCTCTGCTCCTGGAGTGTGAGTGAGTCCCTGGACCAAGAGCAGGGCTGAGTGTGGAGTGCCAGCAGTGCAAAAGGCTCTTCCCAGCTCTCTCTGGAGACGAGAACTGCCTACAGGATTCCTCCAGCACCTGGTTTATCCTCTCACCATCCCTGCACAGCCCTGAGAGCCACTCGTGAGCCCTGTTGGGTTCTGCCTTTTCCTGGGCAAGCAGCGCAGTAATTGCAGCTGTGGGGAGAGCAGGGCTGGAATCAAGGGTGACTTTGATGAGCAGGCTCTGAAGTGCTTCTGGGGGATGATGAAATGAAATTCTGGACCCACTCCAGCCAGCAGTTGGTCTCTACTGCTTCAGTATTAGCAGAGATTTAAGCTCCACGCAGGAGGTGACTGCTCACATCACAGATGGATTTGGTCAAACAAGCTCTTTGGGAAGGTGGGGGAAGGTGCTCTGCTTGAACCAGGAGGGCTTGAAAGGTGCTTTGTTCATCCTTTAGAAGCAGAACGTGGCCTGGTTTTTCAGGAAGGCAGGAGCTGGGTGGATTCTGTGTGCAGGGGATTGTCATGGCAACCAGAGGGAAACCCCACGAGTTTCAGCCAGGCACAGGTGAGGGGGAGCAGGAAACCTGCTCGGAGAGGATAAAGCTGCTCCCAGCACTCCCCATTCTAGGGGGGAAGCAATGAATATAATTGAGTATTTTAAGCAGCTTCCAGAACTGTCTGAGCACAGCAAGCAGAAACAATTTGCTGTAACAGCCCCCCTGAAATACTCAACCACCTCAGATTCTGCCAGCTCTCCTCCACAGATGTTGATCTCTGTGCAACTTCGCTGCCAAGACCGAGGGAAGCTTTTGGGAGAAGCTTCAGTTCTGTTTTAAGCAAGATGAGGAGGGGTTTTAATACCTGGCACAGAACAGGGGGTGGCTGTATTTATCCAAAGGGATTGGGGAGGGGGCTTTTGGGGGGATCCACAGGGTAATGCTGGGCTATGAGAGGGTGTGTGCAGCCCAGAGCTCGTGGGAAGAAGAGGGGAACTGCAACAGCACTGCAGCAGCAGTGAGTCCTTCCCAGCTCAGTGACATCCTTGTGGCTTTTAGGGTCTGAAAAGGATTTAAAAGTGAAAAGAGGAGTGATGCCTGCTCCCCAGTAATGGATTTTCAGGCATGTGCTGAAGAATTCAGGTTATATTTCCCCCAGCCAAAGGCAGGGGTGGTGATGGGAAGAGCTGGTGGTGCCCTAAATGTCAGGAATTTGCATTTCCCCTCCGAGTGACTCCACAGCTGAGGGTGGAAGGTGCTAACCAAGAAGCAGTGTGAGGAACTGTGGGGAAGCAGGGATGTGATTCCTGGCTGGGAGGGAGCTGCCTTAGCCCATTGGAAGGCTGATGAGCCTTTGGAGGGAGCTGCTCGATAACTACATGGAAGGAGCAGGTTAATGTGCCACGACAGCACACTGTAAAATGGGTAATTTCTGTGCACTGTGCATTTTGCAGAGCAGCAGCTCTGCCTAAATGAAGGTTTATGCAAAGCCCCTCTCAGCGGTGGATGCACCATTAGGCTCCAGGGTAGCTGGTTAAATTGCACTATTGATTTAATGTGCAGGAATATTTGTTAGTGCACTGGAGAGGTGCAGCTAATGACTTCTGCTGGCTTCTTCAGATTTTAGTCTGGCACACAAGGACAGAGAAGCCTGTGCTGGTGAACGAGGGCAAGAAAGGATTCACAGATCCCAATGTGGAAATCTGACTGTGCAGAGACCAACACCAGGTAAGAGCTCGTGTTTCTTACAGCAGTGAGGAGCTACACAAGGGCAGGAGAAAGATAAAAACTCTTTTAAAGGTGCTTTTTCATTTCAATTTTTCACAACCCTGACCTTCCCTTACTGCTAAACTTCTCAAGACTATTCATTAATCTCTCTTTTTAAAAGTTAATCTATTTTTAAGACAAAATACCTGCTGAGAGGTTGAGGGGAAGAAAAATGCAGGGAGTAGGAGTATAAGCAGAAGTTGCACTATTAAGAAAAATCCTTGTCTAAACAAGGTTGCCTTATTAACTTTAATACAGCTAAAGCACAGGGGTGAAAGGTGGGGATTCATCCACCACCTGAGGAAAGCTAAAGCAGTACCAGCAAAAAGATTTTTGGTCAGGCAGAAGCTTTCACTGAGGGAAATATTTAATTCAGACCCACATTGAAGCCACAGAGAGTATGAGAAGGCGTGGCTTAAACCCCACCTGAGGTGTTTGTTCACCTGAGGAGAGCATGGGGTGTCTGTTCCAGTGGAAAGCAGGAAAGAACACACACACATTGATGGCTGGCTTGTATTTGTTCATGGCCTGGGTGTTTCTGCAGTTGGTTTGCAGGAGTGAAGGATGAGCTATTCACTTGTGCACCCAGCCTGTGGAGCTGTCCTTCATTATTATGGGCAAAAAAAATGAATGTACAGCTCCCTTGGAGTGGAGTGTAGAACCAGGCCTGGAGGGAGAGGAGGCTGCTGAGAAGCAAGAGCAGGAAGGAGGTAGATTAGCTCAGCAGTGGTGACCTTTTACCTGCAATGAGCTCCCTTTTGTCCCATTCCCTGGGGGAAGCAGGTGGAGCCCTGGCCTTGGCAGGGCAGCAGGAGAGCCTGCACCAGGTTCTGAGTGCCAGGGAGAGGCTTTGCAGAGGGGCTGTGATGCCTGGAAAGGCTGATCTGGAACAGAGACCAGGCAGAGCAAAAGGAATAAAATAGGAATTTATTGAAAGGATCCACCTTGGGCACTGTAAGAGCCTGGCTGGGGCTACACCCAAATCAAATCCAAGATGGATCCTGGTCACGAGTTTTTATATTTTTATAAGTTTTGGTTCCTCTACATATTGGGGTTAATTATCCAAGCACAGCCCCAGGCTATGAAGTCTCAGCCCCCCTGGCTTGCCCCCTTTCCCTCCCTATTGTTTCTGGTTTTTGGGTGTCTTGATTCTCCAGCTAGATAGGAATTGTTTTGTCACTACCTTGTGAAGAGAAGTCACTAACACCTATTATGAAGTTTCAGTTACAAACTAAGCAGCAGAGATTCTGAAAAATATAAAAGCTAAAACCCAAGGCATCAGCTGGAGCTCTGGCCCCAGTGCTGCTCCCCCAGCCTCATTTCCCAGGCAGCACGACTCTGGGATCTGCAGTGGGGCAGGGCTCTGGGATGGCTTTACAGTGGGGTAGGACTTTGGGATGGCTCTGCAGTGGGGCAGGGCTCTGGGATGGCTCTGGGATGGCTCTGCAGTGGGACAGGACTTTGGGATGGCTCTGCAGTGGGGCAGGGCTCTGGGATGGCTCTGCAGTGGGGCAGGGCTCTGGGATGGCTCTGCAGTGGGACAGGACTTTGGGATGGCTCTGCAGTGGGGCAGGGCTCTGGGATGGCTCTGCAGCAAGGCACAGGGGTGACACCCACGCTGTTTGTGTCTCTGTTGCAGAAGATTTCTTCATGCACAGCCTGGAAGTTCCTGTCCACAGCATCCACCCAGCCAGCCAGGCAGGAGCCAGGATCTCTGCTGGCTCCCACGAGTTTTAGCCTTCTGAAAAACCAAGCAACTCTGCATACATGAACTGCCCGGACCCCCTGCCCTTCCTCCTGGACTCGGAGCACAGCAGAGGCTCCGGAGGTGGAGAACAAAGCACAGCAAGCCAGGACTGCCAGCTCCCGGCGCCGAGGCTCCGGGTGGGATGTGGCTGCACCGAGCAGGGGCTGTTTGCCAGCGCCTGGGTGAGGCTGAGAGCCACGGGGGGACTGGTTTTGCTGAGAAACACGGACCTTGTGGCCATGTGTGTGACAGCCTGAGCAGCTCTCTGGCCGTGGAGGGGACGGCTGCCTTCTGAGATGGCACCTTAGCCCTTAATTTTAAACCTTCTTTAATCAGTGTTTGTTACGCTGCACAAGACAGGAAGGGTTTGGGGGAGGGGGGGAAAGCAAGGCAGGTTAGAACAAGCCCTTTAGGCATCACTTTTCTCTGATTTCCCTCTCCTTTTTCTTCCTCGGTTTGGTTTCCTGCCATTCCTCTGTGGTCGTGGAATCATGCAAGGGTTGGGGGTGGAAGGGACTTTAAAGGTCCTCTGGTCCAACCCCCTGCCATGGGCAGGGACACCTTCAGCTGGACCAGGTTGCTCCTGGCCTTGAATATTCCCAGGGATGGAGCATCCCCCACCTCTCTGGGCAACCTGTGCCAGTGTGACATCACCCTCCTTCTAAAAAAATGTCCTTATATCTAATATATCCTCTTTGAGTTTAAACCCTTGTCCTATCCCTGCTAAAAGGTTTGTCCCCATCTTTCTTGTAAGGCCCCAGAAGGGGATGGAGGGACAGGAGCAGGGAGCTGCTGATCACCACCTGCTCACCACTGATCCTGGGTGGAGCAATGTCTCCAGCAAGTGGTTCTCTGAAAATGCTAAAATAATTGGAAGTGGGGTTTAATGAGATTTTTGGGGCCATACATCATAATATTCATCCAGATCTTGGTCCTGTTTAGCCCTAATTTTGTTCCTGTGAGTATTAGGTATGGGATTCTCTGAAGGGTGCTCCTATATAAAGGCAAATTGCCACTCTTAAAAAATAAAACTACTTCAGACTAGGGATTGGATGCTAAGAGGTGATTTTAGTGCATTTCCCATTTGACTGGAGAGTATCCTCCAGCCCCAGCCCCTTTTTCTGCTACTGCAGAGCTGGTGTGAAAAGCCACCCTGGAGCAGTTCCCAGTCCCCTTTGATGGAGAGAGCAGCACCCTTGGGAAGGGGATCCTGGGCTCAGGGCTCTGTTTATTCAAATTATTATTTATTATCTGGTGGTGCTGCCACCGTGGGTTACTCTGTTTGAGACTGCCAAACTTGCTGAGATAAGAACTGATGTACAACAGGCCCCTTCTCCCCAGCCAAAACCCCTAAATTCCCTCCCCCTTCATAACTGTTTGATCACCCTCCCCACCACTGCCCCAATTCCTTCAAAAATTCTGAAGCACAATTTTACCTTGGAACTGAGGGAAAAATGTAATCCTGCAATAGACTTGGTTATTTTTAGCCCTAACACATAGAACTATTAAAATGCTCTGGGTTTCATTGTTGGCTTCACGGTGCAGAAGTCTCCCCTTGGACTAATGACATTGTGTATTTCCTGATATTTCAAAGGAAAATATTTTTTGTAAGTTATTTTCTCCCACTGTATATCAGAACCATTGGGGAAAAGTCACATTCTTTAGTTCCCAGCCACAGAAGCCTTTATAAAAATGTTCCTTTTAGATGCAATGGCTGAAGCACTACTTGGAAAGAAAGTGTTGGATGCTGCTGGCTGCTCTATGGGAACAGGTATTGTTACCTTGGATTAAAACTCTGCACTCAAGTAGATTTATTCTGTTATTGTACTGGCCTTCCAAGTTCCCTTCAGTCTGCAAACCCTACAGAGGAAAGAGACATTTTTCAAGGACTACCGAGTTTTCATAGCATTGAAATAGTTTCCAGCTGATGTCCTCTCTGAGCTGCATGTTTTGGTTCACTAATCTGAATTCCAGCCCCTGCTGGGTTCCAACCTTCCCTCCTTGGAAGGAAATAACTTTCAGAAAAATGCAAAGGATGGAGTCCTGAACACAGCCCTGCACATTTGCTCTGGCCACAGGAGCCTGGGCACTTTCAGCTGTCCCAGAGCTGCTGTGGCCCTGGGGAGCAGAGATAGGAGTGACCAGACCTGGCCAGGATGGAGTGTGTTCCAGCTGCACTGTCTGTTCTCAGTTTTAAACAAACTGTATTTAAATTTGTTAAATAAAACGATGGTTTCTAAGAGCCAGAATACCCTGCACCTCCGTTACAGACACAGTCTGGTGTTTCTCCCAGAGCTGAATCCTGCTAGTGGCACAGAAAGCAGCGACTCCTGGGAGGTTCTGAAGGATTCACAGCTTGGGTTTGATCTCTCCCTCTCCCTAAGGAGGCTGCAGCTCCTCTGTGCCTGCAGCTGGTGAGTTAAAAGAACGTTGTGTTTACCTAAATCCCCAGTTTCCCTTCAGAGGGACAAAAAGAAAAAGGAAACCAGGACCCAAGATCCCAGAGCAGCTTTAAGGAGAAAGAAAGGGATGAGTTTTTCCACTTGAAGTCCCTTTGCTTCTACCTCAGCCAAAATCTGATCCCTGTTCACTTTCTAAGGGGGAATTTCATCTTGAGCTGCTTCACAGTGTGAGCACTGGTGCAGAGGGAACTGCAGGACTCACTTGTTCTTTTCTCCTCCTTGGAAATTCTCATTCCTGCCTGGCCCAAAACATAATGATACATTTGAAAGAAGACAAAACACGTCTCACTTTTTAAACTATTTTTTTTTCCTTTTGAGAGAGAGACGACCTCCATAGTAAAACTTAGTGGAAAAAAAGCGCTGAAATTAAGTCATTTGACAACCACTTTGCCTTCCAACGAGGAAACACATAACGGCCTTTTTGCAGAGACTTGTTAAAATCTGCCTCAAAGCACAGCAAAATGGTTTTCCACACCTGATTACTCACATGTTCACCAACTATTTTCTCCCTATCTAATTATAAAAACGAGGAGGCCAGCGATAGCACATTGTGAAAAGTCCCTGGAAAGCTGAGCTCAGCTTTCAGTTCAGATGGCTTCAGTTCTTCCTCTCTCTCCCTCTCTCTCTCTCTCTCTCACCTGCCTCCAGCACCTTTTTACTCCCCCACATCCACCAGCTGGTCCAGAGCATGCGCAGCCACCCGGGCTGGGGGCCTCAGGAGTCCAGGGAGATGAGCTGCAGCATCCATCCATCCATCCATGGAACAAGGGCCCTGCTTCCTCTGGCTGTCCTCTCCTCTGAACTCTGCCAGAGGGCAAATCCTTCCCCTGGCTCTAGTGGAGATTAGCATGCCCAAGTGCTGAGCCCTCAGGTCTCCAGACATGCAACCAGAATACTCAGGATGAGCCAAAGATGGGAAAGCAGCTCTCAATCCACGTACTGGGTCCGTCCCAAATAAGGGATGTCCACGGACTGGATGATGCGGCCGGCCGTGCGCTCCTCAAAGATGACAACCTGCAGGGAGAGACAAAACCCCTTCTTACAGAGCCTGGGGGGCTGAAATATTCTTAGGAGGAGGGGAAGGAAGCACCAGTGAAAGAGATCAGTCACTGTGGGTCTGAACACACCATGTGGTGCAGGGATGAAGCTGCAGCACATCAGGTTTGTCTCGATTTCCAACCTGAGGCAGAGCTGTGAGGTTCAGCTGCCATCCTTGGCTGCCAGAACCAGAGCAGCACCTTTCCTCATTTTCAGGGATCTTAGGAGATAGCACTGGCTTTCAGCTAAAAGAAGATTGCTGACCTGTGCATGTCTGGCTCTTTGGGACCAGGATCTTTAACAACCCCAACAGGCAAAGAGCAATCCCAGCAGAGCCTCTCTCACCTCGTTGCCCCCTCTCCTTAGCCAGGGCCCAGGAAGGTAAAGTGTTTCCTGAGGTCCAATCTTCCAGTATCTTCCCAGGTTCTGCCCATTGACAAACACCACTCCTTTCTCCCAGCCCTGGAATCAAGGCAAAACACTGAATTACTGATGCAGCTCTGCTGCCTCGTTAGCATCCCCACAAGAAACCAAATCTGCTTTCACACTTGCATTCTTTCCAGCCACTTTCTGCAGGTTTTCTGCTTGCTTTCCCTGTGCAAATCCCTGCAGCCAGGAACACTTAAACAAGCCCTGTTGAACAGGAGTTATCCTTAATGTGCTCATTAAAAAGATAAAGCTTTCAAAAATGTGCAATTTGTGATTCGTGCTTGTACAGGAAATTTCTTCCCTTTGAACAGACAGGCCTTTATTCCTTCCCAAGCATGGAATATCTGCCCTCACCTCTTTCCCAGGTGACAGAAAAACTGAATTGCTGCCGGCTGCCCCGATTTACAACAAATATAATTTTCCCAACGAATGGCAAAGGACTGTAAGGCTGGACACAAGGTTGGCTCTAAGGGAGAGGAATCAGAGGAGGAAGTTTAATAATATTTAAAATCTCATCTGAAGTTCTATGCAGTCTCCCATAGAAGGATGACAGGAATGCTAACTCCCACGCCATGGCCACAAAGAAGTGACTCTTTCCACGTCACACTGACGAGGCAGGAATAAAACAAGGCCCTCCTTTATTTTCTGTGCCCATTACTCCTCTGCAACTAGAAAACAGCATTTGTATGCCAATAAAAAAAAGACTGAAGTGGTCACTGGTAGCTCTGCAGGGTCACTTTTCTTACAGGACCTCTCCAGACTGAACAGAATTACCTGGAGGAGACTGTCAGACCTTTAGAGTAATTCTCTAAGAGAGAGGGGGAGGCTACAGACACAGAAATCAGTCAGAGAGCTGTTGCACAATTCTCTCTAACCAGGCTTTTTAAAAACCTTGATGAAGAACAACCAGCACTTGCCTGCAGCTTCAGGAAGGTGTCCTGTGGCTGCTGCTCTATCCACAGCCTCCCACGGAAAAACGCCGGCCCCACGAAATAATCTGGGACTGTGCTCCAGCCAGACACGTGCTGCAAGCTGCAAGAGAGGGACAACAGGGACACTCACACGGGCCACAGGGGCCACCTGCCTGTGTCCCCATGACCCATGGCCCTGGCAGGCCAAGCTGGAGTACAACAGGAGGGTACCTGGGGCTGTCACCACCTCAACGGGAAATGGTTTTTACATT